TACTTTAGTACTTGCTTAATGAAGTACTAACTAAATGCGCGGTAGCTACAGTTACTGCACAGTATTGCCAGTGAATGTTTTTTTCTTGACGGTTACTGCACAGTCGCTTATTAACATGGTTTTTGAGTGGCACACTACTGCACAGTGTTATTAGGCTACCGTACAGTATGTGTCTCTTATAGATGCACCCACTGAGTTCAAACAAGCATCCCCTAAGCTGTGCTCAGAGTTAGGCCTACAAAAAACAACAAACAAAAACCCCTGGCATTCACTTACTGGCAGTATGGCTGCCAGTCGGGGCACTGAGCGCCCATACACACAGCGCAGGGCCGGGTGACAGCCCCAGCAGTTCCAGCCTGGACCCTGCTGCCCCCCGCTGCCCTATGCTGCATGGGGGGGCCTGTGCCAGGAGGTCCAGGAGCCCCCCAGCCCCTGGTCCTGGGGAGAGTAGAGACTTTTTTGTTTTTCTTTTAAAGTACCAGAGGCTGAGGAAGGGGGCAGCCATCAGGGGCTGGGGGTGCAAGTGGGGGATGGGACTGGGCGGGGCAGCATTGGGGCCTATGGGGGAAGGGAGGGCTGGGGCTGGGTGGGGCAGCAATTGGAGGTGGCTGACTGCCTGGCCAGTTGGGGCCAAGGGGACATGCTTTGATAGTTCAAAGCAGGCCACCACAACCAGAACATCTTCCAGGTGATAGCTGCCCAGATGGCCGAGCAGGGGCACACATGGCAGTAGTGCCATACAAAAGCCAACCCTGCAGCCACAGCCCACTGGCAGCTGGCCCAGAGGAGCAGATGCCTCTACTGGCTGTGCAGTCCCCATCCGGGTCTGGCAAGTGCACAGCAGGTGACAGCCAGGCTGCAGCCTCCATTGCCAGACTGCTGCAGTGGGTAGAGGGTACAGGGAACTCTCAGAGCTGCTTCAGCAGTCCCACTGGCACAAGGGGTAGTGTGCCCAGGTACCAATTGGCTGGTCCCCAGAAGCTCCTGAGAGCAAGTAGCCCTGAGCTACTTGCCAGGGTGGCTTTTTGTACTGATGGGGCCAGGACAGGTGCTGGCCCCGAGCTCTAGTTCCCCCTGACTGCAGATCCGAGGTGGGGCCAGGCAGGGTTATTTTGCCCCAGGTGGCACAATTTACCTCACAGCAAAGTGCATGTCCAGGCACATGCGCTGATGCAAAAAGCCCCAGCTCAAATTTGCACCGCTTCTATTTAAGCTGCTGCACGCGCGCATGGCTGTATGTGTGAACATGCCCTATGTGGCTCCCCCAAAGGGTCCTTTTTACTGGTTTACCATTTAAAAGCTAACAAAACATGTTTGATTCTAATAAGAATACTTTTTCACTTGGCAACAAATCTGTCAAAGGTTTTGTACCATGTTCCCCTTTCTTTTCTAAATTAATAACGCAATGTCTCTTAAACCTGTGATTTCCCCAGTACATTCTCACAAGTTACCACTGCACTTTGAGGGATTGTGATGGATAAACAGAGGGAAAAGATGGTAGAGCTTAGTGCTGAAAATCTCATTTCATGCCAGAATAATTGCAGTCTAAAGAGTTTTTGAAACCATAGATCATAGATGAACAAGGGGCAAATAAATATTCTAACAATTTTTTATTTGCCCAACTGACTTCTTTTTTGGCCAAAATTATTTAGAAACCTTCCTTTCTTAGTTTCTTCATTATTTACCTCAGCAAACATGAATGCCTGACAACATGGTAATTTGTACAAATTTAATCTCAGAGAATTGGTTTGAAAGGATTACAAAAAATATATTTGTGTATGGCTCTCTTGTGTCCTCACAAATTCAACAGTTAGCACAGGCTTAACTATGGAACAACTCACATGAACAAAATTAAGTATATGCATGAGTATAGCATATGCAAAAGTGTATGCAGGACCAGGGCCTTCACTTTAAAAAATATTAAGCATAAGTATTGTAGCTTTTTATTTTTCATGCGCAACACAGTCAGTTTTGCCAGAAATACCTATTTCCAAAGCAAGTGGTCATCCAAAGCTGACATCAGCAATGTTGAATTTAAAAATTTTGAATGAAATGCCTTCCACATTTGAGGAAAATATGAAAAATGAACACTTTTATACAACAGTAATTAATAAATTCTGGTAAGTAAGCAAGAAAAAAATATAAAATAAAAACCATATTGCTACAATGAAATGTAAATTTGTTTTGCAAATATAGGGAAGCATTTTATTACATTCCTGTTTAAACTTTCTTTTTTTCTTTCTATCCCTCTCTTCACTTTTCAGATCAATAACACGATCTTATTACCGCAATTCTGTTGGTGGCCTACTGGTGTTTGACATCACAAACCGGCGATCTTTTGAACATGTGAAAGACTGGCTAGGAGAAGCTAAAATGCATGTACAGCCTTTTCGAATTGTATTTCTGTTAGTAGGACATAAATGCGACTTAGTGTCACAGCGACAGGTTACAAGAGAAGAAGCTGAAAAACTGTCATCTGACTGTGGTATGAAATACATAGAAACCTCTGCGAAAGATGCCACAAACGTTGAGGAATCATTTACGATTCTTACCCGAGACATATATGAACTTGTAAAAAAAGGAGAAATTTCTATACAGGATGGATGGGATGGTGTTAAGAGTGGCTTTGTTCCAAATGTTGTACATTCATCAGAGGAGGCTGTAAAGCCTAAAAGACGATGCATCTGCTAAATTCATAGCATGCCAAAGAACACATCAGGTGTTCATAGAATGATGCCAACATAAATAATTGTGAACAATAATTTAAAAGAATGTATTAGATCTGATCATAAATTGGTAATTTTGTATCATTCTAATTCATAACTAATTTCGTCTATAACTTCACGAAACTTAAATTCCTTTTTTTTTACACAGTACAGTAACTTAGAGAGGTCTTCAAGAAAAGAAATGATATGAAAGGAAAATGAATGTTGTATGCCAGATTCTGAGAAGTTGCAATAACCATCATGATAACATCCTCTTTCAGGCTTCATATTTTAAATAGATCATAAAATCAAGCCTCTGACCATAAGCTAGGTTCTGACAAGGCTTTAATTCATCCAACTTAGTCTTAGACAGGAAAATATTAAAACCTATATTTTTTTAATATCATTATTTACTTTAGGAAAGACAGCGAGGGTTTAAGAATTCTGTAAAATATCATAATATGAATAAGACTGAAGAAAGCAAACTGAAAGGACGTTTTGATAAGACTGTGAATACAAGCCTCACTAAAGAAAAATAATGTATTAGAGAAGACTACTATATTTGTATATAAAGTGGAGAATAGAAGAAATGCAGTTTAGTGTGAAATATTTTATGAATCACCAGTGGAACTAGATGTAACACAACAAAGAGTAGAGCTATTATTCAATATGCAGATAGAATGGATTTCCCAACTATGAAGATACATGCTGTAAAATGCTTATCACAGCTGGTAGCCTAATATTTGCTGGGCCAGATCCTCAGCTTGTGGAAACCATCTTATGTGTAAATCCAGAGGGATACACTGATTTATACACGATGAAAACTTCCCCTTAGCTCTAGAGAATCATTCTATTTCTAATTAGGAGTAAAATGCAAGAACTTATTTAGGGCTATGTGCTAAGGGCACTTATGCCCAGATGATGGATAGAATAAGGATTGGTTTATTTAGGAAGTGGTCCACAGAATAAAAGATGTTGGCAGTTTAGCATTTGGGAAATGAGATGTTGGGGGAGACAGTTCATAAAAGAATTCCTCTCTCACGACACAGCCGTGGAATAAAAAGTTTGAGGATCCATATTCTAATAAACAAAGAACACAGAATAAATAATGATGACCAGGGGATGGTTTTGCAAGTATAGTGCATTTGACTGATTTGGGGCTCACCTCACCATTCCCAATGGGCACAATACATACTCGCTTTGTATAAATATGCCCCTATGTGTGTAGCATATAAATGCCAGAACACACCATCTCTCTTTTGCTTGGGGACGTTTAGTTGGAGTGCTCATCACCTGTGAGTTAGCTAATAGTTAATAAGGATGAACTGTTATCATGCAGTTCTTCAGTTCCAGTAGCAGGCAGTCATATCTGTCTAGTTTAACTTTTTATTTTGAATGATAAATATCATAGCAATTCTGAGGAAAATGTATAACTAAGCTCTTCTAAAAGCCTCTTGAAAACATCCTAGGGTATATAGAGAGGTGTGTTTAATACTGATCATTTTGTTCGTTGTGGGCCTGAATCAACTCCATTACAACATCACTAATTTCAGAGGGAGCTGAAGTGAACTTCAAGGGCCTGAGCCTCATTTATATTAAGGCCCCTTTACACTGTCAGGGTAAGGGAAAGGGGCTTTACCATAAATGCGAATCCAGAGCTGCAACTTTAGTGCCATACAAGCTATCTGCAATATGCCATGAGCCAGCCTATCTCTGTGTGTTACATACTGGTAGAGACACTGACTCTGATTTTTCCACAGACTTTTAGTCATTTACATCTGTGCCATTCTGATTTGGTAGCATTTTACACTCTTTTTGCACAAAAATAAATGACTACAGAAGGTGCAAGACAGTGCAGAATAAAGCCCTATATATTTGTACCTGAACACCATGTAAAATTAGCCCTTTGTTAATATCAACACACTTGCCTTACATATCTTAAAGTATTTCCTTACAGTTTTTAAGGGAGGTAAAGCAGTGGATTGGGAATTAAGAAACACAGATTATGTTCCTGATTCTGCTGTGAGACCAAAAAGCAAGACATTAAATACTCTGTGCCTCAGTTTCCTTATTTCTAAAATAGGGATAATAATTCTTACTAATTTTTGTAAAGACCATTTAGATGGTCTTTGGGCTGAAATCCTTTTTTCCTGTGTGAGTGAATAGCAAACAGAATGATGGGTCCTGAGGCCAGTTCAGTATAGTCCATTAGACCTTCTGAGCTTGCCAGACTTGCAACAAATTTGGTTAAAAACAGTACTGCCTACCTTTTTACCCATTTTCTGGTGGGTAGAGCACTTACCTAGGTACTGTCTGTAATCTAGGTCTCTCACAGCCTAGGTAAGTGCTGTAACAACTAGAAAATAGGGAAACATTTAGACATCACCAATTTTTAACTGAGTTTGATGCAAGTTTGGCAAGTGCAAAACAAGCCTAATAAATAAGATCCCTTCCGATATTTAAGGTGCCTCATCAGGATCAAAGTGGATTTGCCTAAATCCTGTTTAGTGTCTCTCAAACTGGATTCCATTCCTGGAAATTATACTTTTTAGCTGCAAAAAATAATTACACAGTTGAAAGGAGCTGTGTAAGTATTCAGCGTTATTTTAAGACTACGTTTCATTGCACATACTTCCAGCTAAAGCAATTCTGTGTGTGTGTGTGTGTGTGTGTGTGTGTGTGTGAGAGAGAGAGAGAGAGAGAGAGAGAGAGAGAGAGAGAATACTCCGTAGTCAACACATTTTTCTTTCTGTGTGGAAAAACGTTAGGGTGTGGGGAGGGGGGAAAATATGCACAGAGGAAAAAAACAATCATCAGAATAAAGCCTTAACTATCTCTGTTGTGAATGTTGTATTTGTAGTCTTAACTTTATTATGGCAGGAATGGTGCATTTAATCAGGTTCAATTATGTCAGGGAATGTTATAGCCAATGAAACAAGAAGGAAAATTCAATGCATTTTAAAGTACTGTGCACGTATTCATCTTATTTGTAACATTTATAACTGAGATTAACGTGAATTTGTTTCATATCTAGATGATATATTAAAACAATACCATATCTCCTCAGTACATGCTAACAGTTAATAAAAATGGCTGCTATATAGCTGATCAACTGAGAAGTATCAACCCGCCATTATATGATTTGCAGTATAGCAAATACTTTAACAGCTTGAGCAGGATGTAAAACTGATTATAACTCAATACACCCTGTCAGTTTTTTCAAGGAAGTTTAAAGAGAATCATTTTTAATTCAGACTGGAGCTGAATATAGTACATCAAAGATCATTTTGAAGGCCAAATTAAAACATAAAAAGGATAGGGAAAAATAACCTATTACAAATTACACATTTTGTCCTTTTGAAGACTGTCAAGAGTGGTAAATTTCATTTAGGAATAAATGGAATTTTATGAAAAGGTATGGCTGTATTTGGATTCATGTGTCCTCAAATGAAACTCTGGACACAAAACTTTGCTTTGTGACCTAATCAAACATAATGCAAAGATAATGAAAGTTTGAAGTTTGTTGAAAGTTTGCTAGTGAAAGAAGAACAATCTTGCTTTGCTTACTGAAACATTTGACACAGTAATGCTGCAGATAGTCACAGCTGACTTGTAACTACAGTCAGCCCTGAGTAAGGAGTAAGGCATCACTGCAGTGCCCTAGGAGCAAACCAGAGAATGCAGTGTGACTTAGGCTTTATTTGTAGTGTTTCCACGTAGTTTTGGAGAGTATCAGTGAAAAGCAAGGTGCAACCTACCTGCTCCTCCCCACATACACCAAACTCAGAAATGAGGCAGTAGGGCTACTCAGGGCACCACCCCCACTGCCTCCACTCTGAAGCACACCAGAATTCGAGATCCGGAGAGAGACAGTGGAGGAGGAATCCTTGGAGCAGGCACATTGCTGCCTTTTTAGGTTTGGTGTCTGTGAACCAGAGATGATTGGTGGAGCTACCAAAAGCCCCGTGAAATAGGTGTAGATGCCTCACAGCCATAGTATACACATCCCCAAGCTAGCTTTAAATCAGCTAGCTCAGGTAGCAGTAGCTGTACAGGGGCACAGAGACCAGAACAGGTGAACACCCAACCATGTAGCTAGCTGCTTTGGTAGATTTTGCAACCTGTAGTGAATCTCCTGCTTCCATGGCTGGAGTGCCATGTCTGAACTAGCTGGTATAAATTAACTAGTACAGATATGTCTGCATTGCAGTCAAACCAATATTCTTCCCCTGCTCCCTCGTCCTCTGAAGGGAACATGTCATGTTAAACATCTGTTTGGGAAGCAACTTACTCCCTACTGAGCATTCAGCCAGCCAGCCACTCTGGCCAACAAATGCCGGAGAACAGAGCCTGGGTCCCTCTCACTCTCAATTCCTCTCAGTCCTGGCTCTGGCACTAGAGCTGAGCTACAGTACAAGGTAACCTTTATTCTTCCACACAGGGAAGCAAGGGAGAGGGCCTGGGGACAGAGCTTGTTGCTTAGCATGGCCATGTAAGAACTGTGACAATCTAGCCCAGACAGAATAGAATATTTTACATCAGAAACCACAGTTGTCAGTAGTACTAGTTTTGCAAAGTCCAAAGACACTTTTTTAATAATTTCATGGAACGCTGTTCACAGAAGA